CCAGCCTGGCCTTGGACACTTCTAAGGGTCCAGGGACAGTCCCATCTTCTCTGGGCACCCTGTGCCAGGGCCTGCCCACCCTCACAGGGAAGAATTTCAACCTGTCATGGTTCAACTCAGTGTTCTTACAAATCTTTCCCAGACCAAATTTTTTGACTCCTTGGCACCCTTCTGAGCGCAGCAGGGATTTTGGGAGCACAGAGTCCCAGATGCAGCAGATGAACCCTTAAAACCACCGACCCCTCAACCCCTAAAACGATCACAAGGAGGAAATCCTACTTTCTTCACTCCCCACACTCCAGGATTTCATTCCAAGCAGCCGGTTAGCACATCCAAACGTGAGCACAGCTGTTTAGGGAAGAAACAGAAATGCTGCTCGGCCGGACCCGGAGCGTGAGGCAGCCCCGTGTCCCTCCCGGAGCGGCAGTGCCAAATTGACATCCGGAAAACCACGGGAACAAAGGCACGGAGCTCGCTGCTTTTGTCCCTGCCTGCTCCACTCACGCACATGGTTTGTTCCTCCTGCCCAATTTCACGGCTTGGCAGGATAAAAGGGATGGGCAGAGTTGGGGCTCTAGTGAAAGGAAAGCACAAGAAGAAAGATTTTTTTTTTGGTGAATATCATAGCCACGGGTTAACTGAGAGGCTGTGCTTGGGCTGTGAGAGTTTGCAGAGGACATTTCCAGGCAGTTTTCACACCTCTTTATCCTGCAAAAATCAGTGAGCCGCGGCATTCTGCCCCAGGATGCCGAGAAGGGTAAAAGCCTGTAAAGCTTCATCATGGGTGTGAATTCATGAAGTTTAAAAAAACCCTATAACATAAAAACATTCTAATACATGCCTGTCCTGGTCCTGTACTCTTCCAGCTGCCTCCACTCCTGGCTGCTGGACTACATGGATTTTGGGCTGCCTTGGGAAGGCTTTTTTGACACCAATTCGCTTGGAGGAAGAGTTCATTCCTCCCGGGTGTGTGGCTGTTCCGGCGTTTCCTGGGGCCGAGGCTGTAAGGCAGCTTCAGGCTGGTCCTTGGAGGACCTTGCTTGGCCTGAGGAGGCATCTGAGGTCATGAAAAGGAGCTGAGCTGCTGCTGTGCTGCAGATGAACGGATTATTTCCCACTCCTGCATTAGGAGCTCTGTGGATTTAGTAATTTCTCCACGGTGACGCTGCTTTTATCGCCACTCCAGCCCTTCCTCCGCACGTCCTTCCTTCCTCCATCCACCCGGGAGCACCTGGAGACGCCTCTAAGCCACCAGAGCGTTGGTGTTTATCCCAGGAGCTCTGGGGAGGAGCAGGGTTGAAGGCTGGAGGGTGAGACAAAGCACAGAAAACACCCACGGGAGGCTGTCCCCAGAAACCACTGGAGAAACTCGCGCAGAGGTGTGAGCGGAGCGCTCAGAGGGATCGTCTGGTGTTGAATCTGTAGCGTCTGCCTCTCCTGTGTCCCCCTGCTCTCCCCCATTAACCCTTTCCGGGGGAGCCCGCCTGTGTCACCCAGCCCCGCGGGATCCAGCGCCGCCTTTCCCGGGAGGAAGGAGCCCGGTTAAACCCGCGATGCTCTTTTCCCTCCGAGTTAACATCCCAGAGGCTCCCATGGGACTGCCGGGCTCCTCAGCCCTTCAATGATCCTGCAGCACCTGGCTTCGTTATCCAGAGAGTGGGAAGTCCTTGGGAAGGCAAAGAGTGGGTGAAGGGAAGAAGGAGAGGATGCTGCCCATGACAAAAGCCTCCCCGAGCTCTTTTCCCTTCCATCAAGGCTCAAAAAGTGGGATGAGCGCTCCCTGCACGGTAATTCCCATTGCTGCCTCTCGCAGCTCACGCTGCCCCGGGAAAGCGGCTCCTTGGGCAGGGCTCATCCCTGAAACGCGGGATAAGAGGGGAGGAGCCCCCCAGCAGCTGGAGACCCCAATCCGCGCCTTGTCCCACCACCGGCTCTTCCAGCAGCGCCGGGCAGCTCAGCGCTGTTCCCAGCATTAGTCACGGGCGTGCCATTAATTATCCCCAGCAACGGGGGCAGCCCTAATTACAGCCCCGCTTTGTTTGGGCTGCTGTCTCTGCCTCGAACGCAGAAACAAAAGGCAGCAGATCGGGACAAGCGGTGCCACAAAGGAAGGAGCAGGGGAGGCAGAGAGGATCCTGCGTGCTCCAAGAGTTGGGATGCTCCCTCCAAATCGATCTTCCCCCTCTGCAGCTGACGAGATCTGGCAGAAAGCTCCGGCTGAAGCTGCTGCTCCGAGGTTTCGCTTTGCCCGGGTGATGAAGGGCTAATTGGATGCAGATTAAAAGTCACTATTAGGGATAATCCCTGCGCGGCCGTGGAAGCGCGGGGAGCATCCCTCCCTCAGCTCCGGGACCCCGGGGCCCTTTCTATTTCCCCCCGAAAAAAAAAAAAAAGGAAAAAAAAAAAAAGGAGAATGGAAAAAAGATAGTTGGAAGCGCAGGATGAGCTGGGGGAAGGGAGATGGGATGGGGGAAAGCTGGGAAGAAATAATTGCCATGTCTGAAAACAGTTACTATGGCAGCGACAGTCTTCGCGCCGCCGGAGCGAAATGTTGGGGACCAGCAGCGGTCCCTTTGTCACATCCTCAGACACACATTTAGATGCTAATGCTGCCTTTAACCTTGGCTGCTTAACCTTGATGGGAGGGGAAGGGCGGCGATGGGGGAGAAAAAGCAGCGAGAGGCGGGGGGGTTTACGGAAAAGATGGGTTTCCTCTCCCTAAATTTGCCGCCGAATGGACTTGGCAGACTCCTCTCAGCTGCGATTAACGCTGTTATTTCTGCGCTTAATATTCCGCGGAGGTTTTACCAGCTTATTTATGGATAGCTGGCATTAGCAGAAGCATAATTCACCACTGCGACGCTCCCGTTTATCTCCATCCCCTCGGGATTGTCTCATCTGGGGCCGGTTTGGAGAACACCCCCAGGTTTGATCGGCCTGGCAATCTAATCTCGCCTTTATTTAGAACCGCCGTGAATAAAGGAGGGGTGCGAAGGAGGGAAGACTCCCCTTTAGACTTTGTGTGGCTGGGAAAGAAATTTTGGTGGCCTGTGGGGCTTTTCTTGAGGCTCCGAGGTGTCTCCAGCTTTTGGAGCTGAAAAAACATCTTGTTCCACATGGAAGAGGGAGGAAGAGAGGGAGGGAAGGAGAGGGGGAATTCCCTGGGGAGCGCTACCTGGCTGAAACAGCATCTCCTGCACTCCCGGCCCCGAGCACGGGGCAATTCCTAAATTCCAGCCCTACTGCACACAGATTAGCCACTAATTCCGGGAGCAGCCCGGGATGCCCTGGCTTTGGGATTATCCTTAACTGCAGCCTTTAAGGAAGCTTTGGCTGGAGCGATTCAGGCAGAGGAGATGAGAGCCGAGCCGGATCTGCCGCTCGCAGATATGACCCGCTTCTTCTGCTTCTGGCATTTGAAATTTATTTTTAAAGCTCCGGGTCCTGGACTCAGTGATCACTTACAGCTTTCTCCACGTGCTCTCGGAACCTCATTTCTTTGGCGTGGTGGCAGACCAAAGCCTGAGCTCACACCAGCTCAAAGATCAGTCTAGGACAGCCCTGCTGAACAAAGTATTTCCATTTTCCAGCCCATCCAGTGCCCGTGCCTCAACTTTGGATTGGCAACGGCACCTCACTCGTGCCAAGGAGTGTTTCTCCCAGCTGCACAATGCCAGGCACACAGCTCCCTGCTGTTTTCCCACTGCCACCACACGGTGATTTCCACAAAACTGCCCAGTGTCACCTCTGAGGGCTGCAGAAGCAAGCTGCCTGTATTTTAATGATGTTAATAGGGAGAATTATCTCCACACAAAGCCTCCACACGCATCCTCGGGATGAAATATGAGGGTGAGGAATGATCCCACTCCAGCCTGACAAATCCCCACCGCACACTGAGGGGTGAAAGCATCTTACATTAAAAGCAGTATCTGTCTTCTGCAGTGCACTTCTTTCTCTGGGGCTTTTGGCTGACCTGTCACATGGAGTCGATATTTGTTTTACAAAGGCCGTAAAAGAGGCAGTGGGTAATATTGTAGCAACCAGCCTGCTGCTGCTTTTTGGCTCCGGAGCAAGAGCAGAAATAAAAGCAAGAGCTCTGGCTCAGGTTCTGCCCAGAAGAGCTGGGGCTGCCTGGAAGTGTTCAAGGTCAGGTTGGATTTGGCTTGGAGCAACCTGGGGTGGTGCAAGGTGTTCCTGTCCGTGGCAGGGGGCTGGAACTGGATCTTTAGTTGGAAGCTGATCTTTAAGGTCTCTCCTGTGAGTAACTGGGACAGAAGTTCCTTGGCTCAGCTATCCGGAGACCTCAGGAGGTTTATCAGGGGTTGGGGCACTCACAACCTTTACAAAATACGAGACCCAAAAGGCATTAATGGCTGTGATCAACATTAGTGCCAGCCCTGCCCTGGATCCAGCACAGGTGAGGTTTTCCCCCCGTGGCATCTCTCTGCCTGGGGACGCTGTGACAGCTGCAGGGGACACAGATGCTCCACATTGCTCTGCTGCTTCCCAGCTCGAATCATCACTGGTGCCAGGTGTCCCTGAAAAGCTGTGCCTGGGCAGCTTCTGGTGCAGCCCCTGGTATCTCACGCGCAAGGAGGAATCCCAGAATGGTTTGGGTTGGAAGGGACCTGAAAAAGCACCTCATCCCACCCCCTGCCGTGGGCGGGGACACCTTCCACCATCCCAGGCTGCCCCAAGCCCCAGTGTCCAACCTGGCCTTGGACACTCCAGGGGTGGAGCAGCCCCACCTTGCCTTGGTTATCATTTTAAGGGGTTTTTTACTGCTTGCTGCAGTCGGTCACGATGACAAACATAAGCCAAGGCACATGGGGGGTGGCGCTCCCGGGGGTCTCTGAGGAGCAGAAGCTGGGGCAGGGCCAGGTGAGGCTCGGGCAGGGGCGATCCGGGCAGGACGCGGGGCGGAGCGGGAGGAAGGCGGCGGCGCGGCCCCTCCTCCTCCTCCTCTCCTCCTCTTTCTCTTCTTCCTCCTCCTCCTCCTCCTCCTCCTCCTCCTGCCGGGCGGGGCCAGGGTCGGCAGTCCCGGCGCGCTGCCGCCGCGTGGAGCCGCGCTGCGTGTTCCCGATCCCATCTCCCTGATCCCCGATCCCTTATCCCATATCCCCGTTCCCGGCTCCCTCCGCCGCCCCGAGCCGTGCCCCCGCTGCGGGCCGGCGGCGCGGGGATGGGCGCGGGGCTGTGAGCGCGGCCGGGAGCCGTGGCCATGGGGAACATCTCCTCCAACATCTCCGCCTTCCAGTCCCTGCACATCGTCATGCTGGGCCTGGATTCGGCGGGCAAGACCACGGTGCTCTACCGCCTCAAGTTCAACGAGTTCGTCAACACCGTGCCCACCATCGGCTTCAACACGGAGAAGATCCGGCTCAGCAACGGGACGGCCAAGGGCATCAGCTGCCACTTCTGGGACGTGGGCGGCCAGGAGAAGCTGCGCCCGCTCTGGAAGTCCTACAGCCGCTGCACCGATGGCATCATCTACGTGGTGGACTCAGTGGACGTGGACCGGCTGGAGGAAGCCAAAACGGAGCTGCACAAGGTGACCAAGTTCGCGGAGAACCAGGGCACGCCGCTGCTGGTCATCGCCAACAAGCAGGACCTGCCCAAATCGCTGCCGGTGGCCGAGATCGAGAAGCAGCTGGCTCTCCACGAGCTGACCCCTTCCACCACGTACCACATCCAGCCCGCCTGCGCCATCATCGGCGAGGGGCTGACGGAGGGCATGGACAAGCTCTACGAGATGATCCTCAAGCGCAGGAAGTCCCTCAAGCAGAAGAAGAAGCGGTAGAAGCCCAGCCGAGGCGGGGAGGGATGGGGGAGCAGACAAAGGAACCGAGGGGGAGACAGAACCAAAGCGATTCTTTTGGGTTTAATCGTTCTTTTTTTTTTTTTTTTTTTTTTTTTTTTCTTTTTTTTTTTCCTCTTCATTTTTTTTTCCTCCTTCCCTCATGGCAGGGCAATAGTGGTGATAACAAAGCGGCTCCCGCCAGCCGAGCCCAGATCCCGGAGCTCCCCTCTCCCACCGCCCCGTGCTCCTGAGGGTCTGATCCGGACTCCCTTGGGCTGGAAACACGGAAAATCCGGGATGAATCCCCCCGGGATGAATCCCCCCTCTCCATCTCCGGGACCACCGAGCCTTTGTGTGCCGGGGAACCAGCAGGGCAGGACCCTGCTGAAGCGCGTTCGAGCGGAGCCCAGCGTGCTTTTGGATCTCTGACGGGGGCGTTTGGGGGCGTCGATGCCAGCCCCCCACAAACCTTTTGGGGCGGGGGGTCGGTGCTGCGGGTGCCCCGTGGCTCGGCAAGGTCAGCGGGGAGGGGGCTTGCCGCCCTCATCCCTGCATCCCCGCATCCCTGGATCCCTCCCCCGCGGGTGGCGGTGGGAAGGGGTGTTGAAAGCTTGGGCGGGGGGGGTTGGACCAGCAGAAAATGTCTTGGAGGGGTGGGTGTGATGGGTAAGGGGACATCCACCCGCCCTGGATGGTGTTTTGGGGTGCAGAGCAAGGACGGGCAGGCTTTGGCTTGGGGGGGAGGATGCGACACTGGGGTGCTGAGCAGCTGCTGAATGGTGCAGAGCTTGAAGCTCAAAAAAAAAATAGGTGAAAAAAAGAAAAAGAATGCCGAAGGGTTTGGGGTGAACGCTGCTGGGAGCGCTAGGGGGTTGTGCAGCACCCCCATTTCTCAGAGGCTCGGCGGTGTCACCCTCTGCAGCAAAGCCCCCCGCAAGTGTGCATTGTCCCCGTGCTCAGGGTGCTCCCAGGTGCGGCTCTGGAGGTGATCCAAACTAGGGGTTACTTAGCAAAACCCCCCAAAAAAGGCAGAGTTTGGGGTTCTGGCCACTGTGCTGCTCTGCAGTGGGGCAGGAGGCCAAGTCGGGGAGGTCATGGCAGGGCAGGATGGATGGATGGACACACAGGGATGGCCAGAGCCTGCAAAAAATCTCTGCTGGAAAGGGAAGATGGCAGGGGGTGAAGAGGCATGGGGGGGTTGTGGTAGGTTTCTAATAAAGATTCAAACCCGATTCAAAGCCCCTCGCCTCCCCCAGTAGCCACAGGGGCAAGCTGAGCCGGGCAGGGCCAGGCCTGGCCGCCTCCTGCAGGGGAACGTTTTATACCTGTTGTTCGGGGCTGGGACCAAAATCCACTTGCTGTCTGTGTTCCAGCCTGGGATCCCTCTCTCTGGGTCGGGCAGGGCCAGGCCTGGCCGCCTCCTCCTGCAGGGGAACGTTTTATACCTGTTCGGGGCTGGGACCAAAATCCACTTGCTGTCTGTGTTCCAGCCTGGGATCCCTCTCTCTGGGGTCTTGGCTTCCTGCAGAGCTGAAGCAGGCAGCCCTCAGGAGCCAAATATGCTGGATTTGGAGGCAGGCAGCATTTTCTGGTGATTTTACACCAGCTTTCCCGTTTGCAGATCCCTTCCCAGAGCAGCCAAGGGGAAAGCACCAAGCAGACAAAAGCAAAATGTGCTTCAGGTTTTGGGGAGTTGGTCTTCCCCTTGCAGCGAGGAGCACCTTCCAAACAGCATTTTTGGGGGGCGGGTGGGGTTTGTGAGGGAACAAATGTTGCAGCCGAGTTGTTTCTTCTCCTCTTGTGGGGTTCGAGTTCCCGATCTGTGTGGGCTGGTCCCATCCGTTCAGGTGGCTCCCTCGGGTTTCCCTGTTTTGTCTTCACCTCCAACACTTTGGTACTTGCTGTCGAGAGAGAGAGAGAGAGAGAAAAGAATTATTTATTTTTGATGCCACAGAAGCCACATGTATTAACCCATTTTTGGGAGAGCGACCTGTTTGAAATGTAGAAGCTGTGTTGACCCCAGCAGCTCCAGGGTGACCAGGTTTTGGGAATGACACTGTTGGTGGTGGGTTTTTTTACCTCCTGGCTGGCCTCGGTTTAGCAAATGGACAGGCTGTTTTTATGGAGCTGGGTCCTTCCTGGATTCCACCCAGCTGAGCATCCCTTTGGAGAGATGGCAGAGGGCTGGGAAGTTCGGGTGGGACGCCGTGCCCGTGCCCTTGCCAGCCACTCTGCTTTCTGCAATAATTAAAAAGACTTTTCCAACCAGTAGCTCCTGGCTTCCGTGGTGTTTCCGTAATGTTCCACCCGGTTTTCCCCCCGTGAGAAGATGAGCGTCGCCCTCGGTGGGCTGCAAGAAAGGGGCCCTCAGCAGAGCAGCCCCCAAGGGGAACTGTCTGGGCTCTGTGCATCTTCTCAGATTCTGGATGACCTGGGATTTTTGGCAGGTCTTGTTCCCCCAGGTCCATTCCCCGTGTTCCCATCCCGTGTCCTGCCCTCGCCATTGTCCGTCAGTCTCTGTTCCTCCCGTCTTCCCTTTTTATTTTTCTGTTTGGTTTTTTTTTTTTAAAGATGCAGACATAATGCTGTGAACTGAAATAAATTATTTATACAATGAAAGGGCCTGATAAAAAAAAAAAAAAGCAACCAAAACCCAGTGTTCTGCTCATTTCTCAGTATCAGTGCTGCATTTTGTGTGGTTTGAAGGAGGTTCCTGTGCCTCCCCGAGGAGAGGAGACAAGGGGACAGAGAAGTGACCTGCCGAGGATCCAGTGTCACGGGTCTGTCACGTGGCAGCCCGCCAGGACACGGGGGACATCCATAATTTGCTGGTTAATGAAATCTGAGCTCCTTGGCAGGTCACTTAATGTCTCTGCATCTCTGCTGCTGTCTGTGGATACTTTTTGGTGGGGGGGGGGGGGATTTTGTTCCACCACCTCCTCTGACTTGAAATCCATGTTAGGGGGGCGGTCATGCAGAAAGTTCCCATTTTTGCTCAGCATGGCTTTTTTTAAACGGGTGGCCTCGGGCGAGCGAGTGGTGTCGGTGGCAGAGAGCCAGGTCTGCAGGGGTTAAACCAGCATTTGGGAACAGGATGCTGCAGACAGAGCTCGAGGCTGCCTCTGCTCCTGGGTGGCTGCTGACACAGGAAACCCAGGGTGACATTTCAGGGGGGGGAGCGGTGGAGCTGGGTGGCAAACCACTTTCTTTTTTTTTAATTTTTAAAATTTTTTTAAATGATGACGAGGCAGCCAGAGGGGAAATGATGAGCCTGGTTTGTGAAAGTGAGATTTGGAAGGGCTTGGAGTGTTCTCACCCTGCCTGAGATGTGTGGGGTGTGCAGTGCCTGGGTGAGGGATGTGGTGTCTGCTCTGCAGGGTCAGGGGTGGGGGCTCTGAGGGGTGACAGGAGCGCAGGGCACGGCTGGAGCTGTGCCAGGGCATGCTTAGGCTGGATTTTAGGAAAAGGTTCTTCCCCCAGAGGGTGCTGGGCACTGCCCAGGCTCCCCAGGGAAAGGGCACAGGCCCGGGCTGCCAGAGCCCAAGGAACATTTGAACAATGCTCTCAGGGATGCTCAGGGTGGGATTGTTGGGGTGTCTGTGCAGGGCCAGGGGTTGGACTCTGTGATCCTTGTGGGTCCCTTCCAGCTCAGGAGATTCCATGGTTCCTTGAACCCAAAGGCTTATCCAGCTCTGCAGCTGCTGAGCTGCTGTGGAGGCTCAGGAATCCCTTGGAGCTGAGCGGGACCGTGGCATTCCAGGATTGAGCTGTGCATTGCTCAGCTGCCCCCTGACCCTGCCGAGAGCCTCTGGAAGTTGCAGTGTTGCCCACAGGCTCCCTCCTCACCCAGAGCATCACTGATGGGCTCCTGTCCCTCTGCCACACGGTCCAGTGCTCCTGAAGATGCTCCTGACCATCCTCTGCCCCCAATTTCCATGGGATACCGTGTGCTCCTCCTGGTTTCATGGATCTGAAAGCCCAGCAGTGCCCACACCTTCCTTAGCCTGAAGGGACTTGTCCTCACCCATCCCACCTGGCAGAAGCTGATTTTTGGGGGTTTTCCAGCTGGCCTGGACGCTGACATTGTGTCCCTGAGCCTATCTGTGTGCCAGGGGAGCTGGACTTTGGCTCCTTGGGTGCCACATGGAGCTGGGGGAGCCTTTCCTCCTGGTTTAAAGGGGGAACCGTGCCTTTGCCTGCAGTGGAGGAAGAGAAGCAGCTGCTGTGGCTTTGAGAGGCTGTGACCGGGCTGTGTGACTCTGCAGCTGGGATTTCTCCTCCCAGCCTTTGCGGGAAGGGGCGGGAGGGGCCGTGCCCTGTGGCCAGCAGAGCTCCTCGTGCTTCCACGGGCATCCTCCTCGGAGCAGCCTGTCCTGCTGAGGAGGAGCTGGGGCATTCCAAGAGGATGGATCAGGGCTGGGAGCGGCGGGAGATGGGGTCGGGGCAGCAGTGAGCAGAGATGAGGCACCTCTTTTAAAGGGATGGTCATCCTCAGCCCACCCCAAAATGTCCCTGGTGGATCCCCCCTCTCTGCAGGGCACCAGGGAAGGCTGCTGAGTGCTCTCTGAGTGTCCCCTTGGTGTATCCCACTTTTCCAAGCACGCAGCTTCCTGAGCTCTCCTCCACCCTTGGAGCCCCTCCGCTGCAGGTTCTGCCTTGCCTCGTGCTGTCCCAGCCACAAAGGTCCTTCTGCCTCTCTTCCCTGGCTTTGCCTCGTTAAGCTAAATCCCTCTGCTTTATTTCAAATGGGATTTGCTTCCCAAGCAAGGATCTTTAAAAGGATCATCCTGGTTAATGCAATCCGGAGGGCGCTGGATCCCTGGAGCGTGGAGCAGGGCACTGGCAGCTACTGCACAGCACCAGACGCTTCTGGCCGAATTTTGGGGTGGGCTGAGGATGACCATCCCTTTAAAACAGGCTAGAAACCGCTGCCAGAAGAAAGAAAAAAAATCCCACAGTGATTCAAGCGTTGTTTGCTTTGTTTCAGGCAGCCCCATCCTGGAGCTTCTTCAGTGGGAATTACCCCCAAAATCAGCAGACCTTTTTGTCTGAGCAGCAAAAGGCCACTGCTGTGAGTTACTTTAAGCACTTTGCATACACACCATGCAAAAAAAAAAAAAAAAGGCTCGTGCTGGCCTGGCAGAGCAAAATTGAGACATTTCAGCACGAGGATGTTTGAATGTGGAGAGCTCAGCCTGGGAATATTTGCTCTAATAAACCATTCTGTTTATTTCAGCTTAGCCTGTGTTTGCTTCCCTCAGACATTTGTGTGAGATTTCAGGCAGGGAAGCTCACAAAGCCCATCAAACTCTCCAGCAATGACATTAAAACACTGCTGGAAGGTGAGTTATGGAGCCTGGACGCCCCCCAGGTGAGCAGAAGGAATTCCATGTGTCCCATGACCCCTGTCCTCCCTCCCTGACAGCCCTGACTGATGGCATCCCACAGCTTCCCGGAACACTGGAAGCACGATGGGAATTTGTGAGAGGGGCAGAGAGCTCTTCATCAGCCCACAGATTAGATTCTTCTCATTTATTATTAGTCATCCTTATTTATTGCTGTGAATGATATCATAGAAAGGAGTTCTAATTATTATTATTGATATTAACAATATTATAATACATGTATTTATTAATAAACAGTGATAAAACCAGTAGATAAATAACAAAAGAGTGGTGAGGCACAGGGTGCCCAGAGAAGCTGTGGCTGCCCCATCCTTGGAAGTGCCCCAGGCCAGGCTGGACAGGGCTTGGAGCAACCTGGGATAGTGGAAGGTGTCCCTGCTCAAGGAATGGGATGAGCTTTCAAGTCTTTTCCACCTCAAACCATTCTGGGATTATTTTTATTGCCCAGCCCAAGTTTTGCAGCTGGGGTGAGCTGCTCTGGTTCTTGTGATGCCGTGGTGCTGGAGCATTCCCAAAAGATGGGGCTGGGGAAACAGGCACCCCCAAAGCTCCTGATCCCACCTGGCACTGCTTTCAAGTGTTTTGCTGCCAGGAAGAGAGCAGGATGCAAAGCTGGGCCTAAATGCAGGTTTTTGATACTCCTGCCTAACCTTGGTCACATGACTTAACTTGCCCCAAACTTCTTTTCCACAGGAATAAAAGGAAAATTCCAGCATTTCTCCTCCTCCCTGGGCTTCAGAAAGAAATTGGGGCTGGTGTGATTCTCAGATCCCCATGGTAAAAATGCTCAACCTGCAGGATTGTCCCTTCCCTGGTGGAGAAAGGGGCTGAAGGCTGAGGGTGGGGGGAGATTCCTGCAGATCCAGGTGCTCCTGCTGTGCCATGGCCACGTTATTGGGTCCCAAATTATTATTAGGAGAAGAAACTCAGGGCATCCCCCAGACTGTAGGGGGCAGGGATGTTTTTTTGGGGCTAGGATGAGG